CCCCCCCCCCCTCCTCCTTAATGTCCACTTGAAAGTTTGTTGCCCCAAACATCACTGCATTCCAGAATGAATACTGACATGCAATTGCATGAAGATGTCAACGGTATCAACACAATTTACTGCACAATGCTCCAACCTGTTTAATTCTTGCAAAATCTGCATAACCGCTTTTTCTTCCAGAATCGCTGGTACATGGTCCTCATGTTTTGAAAGTATGTATTGAAAAAAGATTCCAGTTGTGTTCACAAATGTATTTACAATATCAGCAAACTATGGTAACCATAGTTTTTGGTATAAAAATATCGTAAAAATGTGTTGGTGATTTTGGATAGAGTTCAAAAGATCACAATGTAAACTGCACATTATTGGTCCTGCTTCCTCTTAAATAATGTCACGAGCACAGTTCCGCACGTGACCTAAAATTTATGAAAATGCATCAGTTTGCTTTTGTCCAAAATGCCCCGCACTAATGTCCACTCCCTTACCCCCTCCCTCACTAAATGTCCAGTTGATGTTAAGTGGCAAAAAAAGAATATGTCAATGGCCCCTTAGTATAACCTCACATTAGTATAACTTTGCAAGGAACACAACTAATTTTTCTGTATATGATAATCAAATAGACCCTGGACCCTCTAGAAGACAACTTATTGTTCCTTACAGCCAAAGTACAACTTCTCTCACACCACTGGTAGCCATGCCAAGCCCACCGCCACAGCCTGACCTTTATTTCAAATTCATAAAAATGTACACACTGCATACCCTAGAAATGTGGGACAATAGCAAAATTACAAAGTTGCACATTAGGTTTAAACAGCTGAAAAAACTGAAATCTTTGGGTGGGTGGGTAGGGGGTAAGGTCAGAAATGGTGGACACAACAAAACCAACTGCCTGCCTTTTGGTCACATGACCCAAACCCAGGCCTTTTGGTCACATGACCTATACCCAGGCCCCCAGCTGTGTGTGAGAAAAACATTTTTCACTTATTTGTTAACGTCAGCCAGTGGAAAATTACCCTTCTTCTCTCTCTGCTGAATCTAAAACAATTTAAGCCAAGGAATATTACCAATTGGATCAATCCAGATGGCAAGCTTCTCAAGTGGCAGCTCAAAATCTAGCTTATCTTCAAGGACCTGCATTTCATTTACTTCCAGTGCAGCATCATTGTGAATCAAACCTGCCAACAAATGCGCAGCCCTCTCATTTCCACAAAGAACTTCTATCAGATGATTAGCTGTTGCCAATGAATCTTCTTTCACAGTTATTATGATTTCCTCACCAGTGCTGTTTGTAAATTTGTTTGATTCCTCACCAAAGATAAAGCCACTGAGCTGAGGAAACTAAAATGAAGAAGGATGACCATTAACGAATAGTGTATGACAGAATGATAAAATTTATAATAACAACAATAGTGATAACTGTANCTTCTCAAGTGGCAGCTCAAAATCTAGCTTATCTTCAAGGACCTGCATTTCATTTACTTCCAGTGCAGCATCATTGTGAATCAAACCTGCCAACAAATGCGCAGCCCTCTCATTTCCACAAAGAACTTCTACCAGATGATTAGCTGTCGCAGATGAATCTTCTTTCACAGTTATTATGATTTCCTCACCAGTGCTGTTTGTGAATTTGTTTGATTCCTCCCCAAAGATAAAGCCACTGAACTGAGGAAACTAAAATGAAGAAGGATGACCATCAATGAATAGTGTATGACAGAATGATAAAATTTATAATAACAACAATAGTGATAACTGTAAAGAATTAAAAAATCATCACAGTTAAAGACCCAACTTATGTAGTTGCGAAAAAAGCCTGAAAAGAAAGCTGGATTTTTCTAAGGCTTTCTTTTTGCAACTGCATAAGCTGTGTCTTTAACTACAGTGATCTTTGATATTGTATCAGTTTCATATTATTAATAGGCCTTATCACGGTTTTGACGAGCAGGCAACCGTGTGAGAAATTACAGTGTTTGTATGAGAATCAAATGTCCAAAAATTTCCGTAAAACGGCTGTTCTGAAAAAAATATGAATTGTAAACTAAATTTTCACTCCTAACGATTCTTCTGAAAAAATTTGAGGTCGTTACATGCAGCTATATGCGTTGGAACCACTTTTTAAAATTTTCTATACATTTGCCTGTAAACGTTTCCTGGGAAAAAATTGCAGACAAATATGTGGAAAATCTGAAGCAAGCGTCTGGAGAAATTTAAGCACAGTAACGGCCCCCAAAATTTGATAGTAAAATCCTTTGCTGTGTAGCTTTAGTTTACAGTTCATATTTTTTTCAGAACAGCTGTTTTACGGAAATTATTCGACATTAGATTCTCATACAAACACTGTAATTTCTCACGCGGTTGCCTACTCGTCAAGATGGCGTCGAAAACCGTGATAAGACCTATTCATATATTCAGGGTGTTTATTGGGCATCGGAGATCAGAGAATTCTCCATTTACTATGCAGAATTCTCCGGCTAACGGTCAATAGCCTTTGACTATTTTTTACTCAGATGTGAAGCCTCTTTAAAAATATTCTCCTGCAACATTACAACTTTCTCCTGCTACTAGAATTCTTAATGAAAACCCTGCCTGTCAAAGCAGTCCCCTGCCCCCTGACGAAAAAGTTACTATTTACTTATTAGGATTAAAAAATGCAAAAAAATATAAAATGTTACCTTTTATCTCTATGCTGTTACTATGCTCATTTTTCCGATTTAAAAGAATTAATTAAAGTGAAAAAAGGTTTAACAACGTCGTTACGTTTTTATGAAAATACCAAAAATTTGGGACAGTCGGACGATGTTAAATGGAGAATAAAAAGGGGGAATGGCCTAAATCTGAATCGGATAAAGCCCTCAAGTCACTAAATGACAAAAGGTTAAGGAGAGGGCAATAGGAGTTGATCTTATCCAGGTCTGTCGGCGCCCTTTAACGTTTAAGCTTATCGCTATTAACTTTAACCCGATTACTAAAGCTGATATTGATTCGGATTAATTTAAGCTTTAACACTTTATCCAGACAAATCTACCCGTATATGCCAAGACCGTATATGCCAAGATTTTCCGCGATGTACAGTAAGTATTATAAGATCCACGCCAGTAAGTAATCAAATGAACAGAATGTTTGATACCTCCTGGGTGACATCATGTTTGACAACCTCTTGGACAAGAACATCGGCTAGCGTCTTGAAATCGTGCACAAATCGATTGTTTTTCTCCTTTTCTTCTTTTTCTTCAACCATCAGCTCGAATAGTTCTTCTTGGCAGCGCCAAGCACGGGCGATTTCAGCCGATTTTTCGCTGGCTTGCAGCAAAACTTGAATAAGATGTTTTCCGCTTCTGGCCGCCATTTTGCATTTTTTTTGTGAACAAACAAAAACATCCGTATCAAAATGTCATCGCCAGGGAGGGGAGGCTTACAGACATTCATCAATAACAATACCTAATTTGGCACTGTCGTTCATCCAAATTTGTCTTTATCCTAATATTTAAAACTTTTAAAATGACTCTTGAAATTGGAAAAGATAATAATGCATTGGACTGAATTAAAGATCTTCCACTGCGACAATGCAACAATTTACTTCCTTTGCCCCTCCCCACTCTATACAGTATATGGGCCTAAGTGAACACCGCTGACAACTTGCAAATTTGCCGCCATTTTCGATTTTTCACTTCCACGTACTTCTACTGTACATTCCTTGTCGATTTTTATTTGTGTTGGGTGAATGAAATCGACAAGATCCGACAAAACCAAGCAATATGCCCCGTGAAATTATTACTCTTCAAATTGGACAATGTGGAAATCAAAGTAAGGTTACTTTACTTATGTTTTCATGGGCAAAAATCATCGCCAAATATGCATGAGCTATGTAAAATATATTGATCGGCTGCGAGTTTAGAAACTTAAGGTATATAAGCTAATGGCTTTGTTTTTTGAATAGTTGGAATGGAGTTCTGGAAACAGCTCTGTGCTGAACATGGAATAAGGCCAGGTGGGTAGTGAAAAAGAACACTTTCATGCAAGCAAAGTATTCTACTGTTTATCCAAGTTAAAGTTAATAATACACTTGATTTGATGGAAATCAGATCATATCATTATCTCATCTTGTAGTGATTCAATCAATTGCAAATTAATCCTATTGATTTGTATCGATCTATTAGATGGAATTCTTGAGGACTTTGCTACAGATGGGACTGATAGAAAAGACGTATTTTTCTACCAGGTAAAATGAGTAGAATTTACTGTCTGGGGTAACTAGTCATTTAGTACCCTGGTCCAGGTTGTTCAATTGTTAGATAGTGCTATCCTTTGAATAAATTGTTATCCGACCAGCGGATAAGTATTATGGAAACCAATTGCGTTACCCAGTGGATAGAGATTTATTCAGTGGATAGCATTATCCGCCTTTTGAACAACTGAGGCCTGGTTATCTATTCTGGTTATGGGAGGTGGGTGGGGGGGGGGGNAACACCGCTGACAACTTGCAAATTTGCCGCCATTTTCGATTTTTCACTTCCACGTACTTCTACTGTACATTCCTTGTCGATTTTTATTTGTGTTGGGTGAATGAAATCGACAAGATCCGACAAAACCAAGCAATATGCCCCGTGAAATTATTACTCTTCAAATTGGACAATGTGGAAATCAAAGTAAGGTTACTTTACTTATGTTTTCATGGGCAAAAATCATCGCCAAATATGCATGAGCTATGTAAAATATATTGATCGGCTGCGAGTTTAGAAACTTAAGGTATATAAGCTAATGGCTTTGTTTTTTGAATAGTTGGAATGGAGTTCTGGAAACAGCTCTGTGCTGAACATGGAATAAGGCCAGGTGGGTAGTGAAAAAGAACACTTTCATGCAAGCAAAGTATTCTACTGTTTATCCAAGTTAAAGTTAATAATACACTTGATTTGATGGAAATCAGATCATATCATTATCTCATCTTGTAGTGATTCAATCAATTGCAAATTAATCCTATTGATTTGTATCGATCTATTAGATGGAATTCTTGAGGACTTTGCTACAGATGGGACTGATAGAAAAGACGTATTTTTCTACCAGGTAAAATGAGTAGAATTTACTGTCTGGGGTAACTAGTCATTTAGTACCCTGGTCCAGGTTGTTCAATTGTTAGATAGTGCTATCCTTTGAATAAATTGTTATCCGACCAGCGGATAAGTATTATGGAAACCAATTGCGTTACCCAGTGGATAGAGATTTATTCAGTGGATAGCATTATCCGCCTTTTGAACAACTGAGGCCTGGTTATCTATTCTGGTAATGGGAGGTGGGTGGGGGGGGGGGAGGGTAAGGGGGTCCAAAACCTTCAAAACCTGTGCAGAAAAACATAACAGAAAACTGCATAGAGGAAAGTCAAAAAGTAAAGTTGTGTTACCAAAATGAATAAAAACTGCAAACCGCATAGTCTAGTAAAACTGCAACACTACAGGTTCAAATCAATATTACTTTAAAACCACACCAAAAATAGTGCAAAATTAAATCAATGCCAATCTTGATGTACTCCTCATCCTTGGAAACTTAGACCTCCTTTAAGGACATTTTAACTCCCAAAGGTAAGGCATTTTTCCCCATTAATGAGAGAATAGACCCCTTCTATTTGCTCCACCAGACTGGGTTTAAATGTAACAATATGATCTAGGCAGCTCCGATCCCCGGAGATAGAGAGACTAACAAGGACTTTCTCAAAGTCCCTTGCATTTCATTTCCAGTTCCAGGCATAAGCATGCAAAAAAAACATATAAAAATCTAAGGCTTGCACTTTAATACCCTTGGGGAATTTTTTTTAGCTCATCTTGTGGACAAGTTTAAGACTGCTTAGTGATTATTCTTTTACTTTGATTTAGGCTGATGACGAGCACTACATTCCCAGAGCTGTTCTTTTGGATCTGGAGCCAAGGGTGAGAGAAAGATACTTTAGTTCAGAGAAAATTAAACTTTTAGGAGAGTTGAATGTTTTTTCTTAAATTATTACCAGGGGAAGTGATGAAATGAACTAAACAAAAAAAAAAAATGCTCGTATCAAACGACATACATATGTACATACAGAATGCAAACTTTACATGCAGGTTATCAGTCAATTCAATCTAGCTTTCACAAGGCACTGTATAGGTATGTGTGGCTGAGTGGTTAACATCTCAAACTCGGGATCTGGGATCTGGAGGTCTGGGGTTAAAGCTTCTCCTGTCGCATTGTTTCCTTAAACAAAGAACTTAACTCCACTTTGTCCATCTTCACCCAGGTTTATAAATGGGTACCAGCTACATAGTGCTGGAGGGTAACCCTGCAATGGACTAGCATCCCGTCCAGGGGGAAGTAGCAACACTCCTAGGCATGCTTCGTACTAAGGAAACCAAGATAATCTCCGGCTGTTTAGGCCTTTGGCTTGTGTGTGCCTTTCTCTTTTTTTACCTTCACGAGACCAGGCGGTTTGTTTGGCAGTGGTATCCAGGGAAGTAGCCATAACAAAAGCTAAGCAGGTTTTTGTTAGTCAAGCAAGCTTTCCTACTCAACAACATTCTAAAATTTTTTAGCTGTATTACAATGTCTTGTGGTTTTTTTTCTTTCAGGTTATTGATACCATCACATCTTCACCATATGCAAATCTGTATAACCCAGAGAATATGTATACATCAAAACATGGTGGGGGAGCAGGCAATAACTGGGCCAGCGGATATTCACAGGTTTAATTATTGTAAAATTTACTGAAACTAATGGCACTGTGATAATTATTGCAAGCAAAATGTAAAAATATTAATGTTAATGATTAGTTGCGCTACCCTGGGCTGATTCAACTGGCCCTGTTTGTTAAAAAGTTGGATAACGCTATCCACTGGATAAACCTCTATCCACTGGATAGTGATTTATCTAACGTTTGAACAAGTTAGGCGTGGTCTACAGGTATTCTGCTGAAAGAAATCTCAAACAAATAATATTGTTTATGTCAAACATAACATGATTTAGAACCACATCTGGCTATTGACAAGGAAGCCCAAAGAAGTGGCACATATTTACTTCACCATGTCAAATCAAGGTGGTAATCTCTAGAAATCATTGACTAAAACAATCACAGAGAAAAAAAGGGGGAACTGCGAACAGTCTATAGGAAGTTTTGCTGACAAAATAAAAATATTACCCTAGCTTAATTCTCTTTCCACCCTCAACTGAATATTACTATTATTAATAATAAAAATTAAATTGATCCCGACGGTGTAATATTTTTTAGGCCGAACGTCTCCATGAGGAAACCTTTGATATCATTGATAGAGAGGCTGATGGAAGTGACAGTTTAGAGGTAATCTTGCCGAGAATTACTACACTAGTTTTTGGACCACTCTGTCAGATTCAGGGAATGAAAAAATTTTGATCTGTTACTCAACCCATTTGTCTCTGAACCGCCCGTGCAGATCCACAGCTTTTCCACTGCTTGTGATGTCGTCAGTTTTAACGTCAAGGACAACTTTGTCTGTTAACTTGTGCAAGGTGAAGAGATCTTTCAAACCATACCAGAATGAGCATGATTCAATTCAGACAAATACCATGTAAAGTTGCCCCAAAAATTCCCTTGAAAATCTTGTTCCACTACCCACCTACCTTTCCTTTTATCTAATCCTAAGATCCTAAAAACTTTCCCAAAAACTTTTCCTACCAAAATGAAGCCTGCTTAATTCCCAGCAAGAGAAAAAACAAGGCAAGAAAAGCTAAAAGAAAAAGTCAAGACTGCTGTGTCACTTTTAAACCCAATAGCTATCTATAGCCAGAGAGTGACCAGAAAACCACGTAGATTCAAAACGCATATTTTGGCTAAATTCCCAGAGGCAAATGGGTTACTTGATTATGTAATTTATGAAAATTTATACCTGGAAATTTATGGAAGTCTTCAATATTTTTACTGTATGTTAATTTGTGGACATAATGATAAAAATATTTCACTGTTTTAGAATAATTTAATTAATAGACAATGCAATGTTTGTTTACAGGGATTTGTAATGTGCCATTCTATTGCTGGTGGAACAGGGTCTGGTATGGGCTCATATCTTTTGGAGAAACTCAATGACAGGTATAGAGTCCTTGAATTACAGCTGTAATTTTACATCATCCACTCAATTTATGCTGGTTTTTTTTGGCCTTGCACTTGCCGAATTGACAATATACAAGTAACAACTTTTAAAATATTCAACTAATATTTTCTCTTTCAATAGGTTTCCAAAGAAGTTAATTCAAACATACTCAGTGTTTCCTCAACAGGTAATGAAATAACAAGAGCTAATCTCGGGTTAATTTTAGATTGAATTGACCACTGTACTTGGTTATAATGCCTTCACTCATTCAATGTTGTAGTGCATAGTTTTTGCATAGTTTTGTAAGAGGGACAAAAAATGGCTCATTGTGCCAAGATTAATGGGGACAAAATGGCTCTAGTTAGTGGTCGAGAGGGCTAGATTTCAATGTTGTCACCCTGGCTTCAAATCCTCACTCTAATCCTTCAGCCATGCTTGGAAATAACCAAAATCTAACCTTCCAGAACTGGGGTTGTAAACTTGTGTAGTTGCATGGGAAGTATTTGTTTCATAACCTGAATAGCCCCTAACAAGGAGAGCATATATAATGAAATAATTGACATGATACATGTAGGTGTTTATTCTTGTACAGTCCACTCTCTCTTAACAGACACCTCTATAAGACAGACACCTCTGTAAAACGGACACTTAGAGTTGGTTCCTGCCTTTCTTTACTCCTTTTATTTGACTCTCTATAAGACGGACACTTAGTGCTGGTCCCAAAGGTGTCCGTCTTAGAGAGAGTTGACTGTAGTCCTCTTTTAATTTTTAAGATAAGGTGTGGTATGGGATGTCCCTATACACCCCTCAACTCAATGCTGGGAGCAATCCCATTTGAAATAGGCACTTGAGTACTGGTCTTAATGTTGTGATTCTAACTAGAAATTACTTTAGGGAACATAGGAGTTGGGTCCAATTATTACAAGGTACTAAGACTGGCTGTGGTCTTGTCAAACATAAAAAGTGTATCATTATGTTTTGTAGGAAGACTTCAGTGATGTTGTTGTCCAGCCATATAACTCGATACTGACGCTCAAGCGATTAACTCAAAATGCAGATTGTGTGGTAGGTAATTGTACCTTGCACTTATGTATCACAAACATCAGGTCAGTGTGAGAAAACAGCCAACATTTTGCGATGCCACCACGGTTTCTCCACAAAATATTTTCTGAGAAATGAGCACAGAAATTCCCCACTGATGACATGTCACTACCAAGATCTGCGTTGCGCTTTTGATTGGTTGAAACAAATTTCCTACATGGCACAACCAATCAGAAGCACTACCCAGATCTGGGTAGTTACGCATCATCAATATGGAATTTCTACACTCATCTCTCAGAGGTCATTTTGCAGGGAAACCAGAGGAAGCGTTGTGAAATGTCAGCTGTTTTCTCAGGCTATCATCAGAGCTGTGAGTAATTTTTAAGTAGGCAAGGAAATGGAGAAGTCACAGGGAATTTCAAAATTTTCTGGTCTTGTCAGTGTATCTGGTTTCTATCAAAATAACCAGGACTAAGATTTATAGTGATATCAAGACAAATTCTCAGCCCCCAGCCCTTGATGACAACTCTGAATAATATTATTTTGTGGTTGATTAAATCAGTCACATTGCTATGTCCTACTGTCTTGCAGGTAATGTTTGGCTCTTGTGGATTTTAAGTTGAGTGTTTTAATTATTTCTTAGGTGGTCCTTGACAACACAGCCTTAAACAGAATAGCTGCAGACAGACTGCACATTCAAAACCCAACATTTTCCCAAGTAAATCAACTGGTACGTGGATTTTACAATCTTCTATAACATTATTTACTTGGTCTTGTTAAATTTTCTTCAGGAGAGCTTTTGTGCTAAAACATGATATCTTCACTCTCGCATGGAAATTATGACATATTATCTTAAAACTACATGTGAAAAGATCACCCTTGCTATGGCTACATTGCACTTTTTGCACCAAAAAAAATAAAAGTGAAATGGTCTGGTATTTCACTTGTATTTATATATGGAACATAATGGCGGCTTGGAGATACATGGTCAAAAATATTTCATGCCTTCACTCATGAAATATTTTTCAATTCAACACTCAAAGATAAATTTCTTATCTCTGTGTGGCCATGTAATATCCACAATTTATTTTTTAATCCAGGTATCCACTATAATGGCTACAAGTACAACAACTCTAAGATACCCAGGTAAGAATTTTTAAGCATTAAAAAGTTTGCTTGGAATATAATCTTTTGTGATTCTTAGCACCAGGCTTTTAGCCAGACATTAAAAACTGGCCGTCCAGAAGGCATGTTTTCCCGTAAAATTATAAGAGATTAAGTGAATTTTCCTCGTATTTCTTCCAAAAATGGGCATCCATAGGACTGCTGGCTAAAACTTTGCTCAGCACCCAGTAATTTTTAATTTCTTTATGTGTGTGTTAAAACTTGATGAAACTCCAGCAAACTTTAAGAAAACATTAATTTTAAAACAGGCAAATAAAAAGGCTGCTTTCCAGCAGTATTTAATAAAATATCAATCAGTTATTAGCACTAAGTGGTCTGTTTACCATCTTTCAGGTTATATGAACAATGATTTGATTGGACTGATTGCATCACTCATTCCTACTCCACGACTGCATTTTTTAATGACAGGATACACACCACTTACTACTGACCAAAAGGTATCTACATGTATAATGGTTTATCTGAGTTGTGGTTCAATCTTGGTTTAAATGTGGCTAAATATAATAATATTTAGGAAAAGTCAACCTCAAACAAATGCTGGTCAGCAGTTTTCCCAACTGTGCTGGGGTGGCGCGATGCCTCTCAGCAGGGGCATCTCATGACTTACATACACAGTTGCTTGCTTGCAGTTCTTCGCAAAGTGTCTTTGCTTTAACCTTGTTGCCTGCCTGCCAATTTTGTGCTGTGTTTTACCTGACCCTCCCTCCCCCTTTATTTTAGGGCTAGGTAAGTATTAGTTGGTAAGTATTCCACTTATTATCAGTTCAGTGTGACTGTACCTGGTAAGGGCCACTTGCAGGGTTGCCATGGATACCTCCTTCCTCATGCTTGAGCATTGCCCAGCTCAATCATCCTTTTACAAGGCCACTTACTAGATTTGTACATGACATGTGTCCTGTGTACTGCTAGTATCAGTAATGTAAAAAATTTACTGCGTTTTGAAATCTGTGTGTGACATAATAGGGCCATTTATACGAAGAAAAATAAGACGCGTCTTACATAAGACGCAATGTAAGACGCGTCTTATTTTTCCTCGTATAAATGGCCCTATTGTCTACATTCTTTCTTACCCCCTTGTTTGGTGTTGCAATTTTCAACTTAACAGAAAAAAATAAAATAAAGACATCGTTTATTTCTTCTCTTTTTAGGTTGCCAATATCCGTAAAACAACAGTTCTTGACGTCATGAGAAGGCTTCTGCAAGTGAGTATGTTAGACCCTTGCTTAGTTTTTCTAACTTTTGACATGGACCAAATAGAAAAAGTCAGTCAACACCACTGGAAAGAGACCCTTGAAGCCAATAAAGTTGCCGAGTTTGAGAGTGATTTGTTGAAAGCTACAAAGATACAGCTCTGCAAAATCACAAAATTTTACAGATGTGAATATGTTACAGGTGATATTGGATTTCAGGTTAATAATCTATCTATGTTGATTCTCTATTACCTTTGTAATCCAGCCCTGGAATAAAGAAAGTTTGACCTGTTCCATCCCTCTTTGCCCCCACCACCACCACCACTGTATAAAAGTCTGTTAATTTTTTCAACTTTGTGTGGATACATCCTTGCTTGCTACAAAAATATCACTGTCTTTGTCCCTTTTAGCCCAAGAATGTAATGGTTTCAACCCTGCGAGACAGAAAACATACCCACTGCTATATCTCTATTTTGAACATAATCCAAGGTGAAGTCGACCCCACCCAGGTGTGTTACAGTTCATTCACTAATTGAAACAAGATGTTCTTGGAGCGTGACCTAGGGCATCAGTAGTAGGAGTTTAGGGAAAACTAAAGCTAACTTGTGGATGGTTATAGCTTTATTAAACAATTAATAATACTAATAATAATAATCAATGGAAGAAGAAGAGGAGGGAAAATCAGTTTTATTTGAGGAACCAGGGATTTGCAACTCAACCACGAAAAACACCTTTACCTTTTGGCTGGAAAATATTTTATTTATAAAAAAGACAAATACGCAAAATACTTAACGTATTTTACGCCAAAATTTTTAAGATGACTCCAGTGAGGTTACAGAGGGAGTCACTTTGACTCACAGAAATTTTCGGTCGTAAAATAGTTTTTTCCTTATCTTTTTCAATAAATACAATGACAGATACATGTAGAGAACTTAATAAGATTATCCAAAGCTGTCAAAGGTTTTTTTTTTAGTGGAGAGTTTCTTTTCAGGATAAAACTGAGTTGTTGCATTAGTTGGTGTAATGAATTAGAGAAAATGCAAGTAAATGTGTGAGTTATTTGGCTGATATTCTTCTATTTTTGTGATTTAGGTTCATAAAAGTCTTCAGCGCATCAGGGAGAGAAAACTTGCGGAGTTTATTCCTTGGGGCCCAGCCAGTATACAGGTTTGAACACAGCACTAATCTAATAGACCAAGTACCTTTTAGGCTCGTTGCAAACGGACTCAACATTGTTGGCCAACAACTCCCAACACTTTTGGGGCTTGTTGCGTCCCTTTGTACGTAGCTAAAAGTTTGACCGGTTTCAAACGTTGTGTAACAACTCCCAACAACACGCAACAACATGCAATAGGGTTTGCAAACGGATGCAACATGTAACACGCTACAATGTTGGGAGTGGTTGGCCAACAATGTTGTCTCCGTTTGCACGTGGCTTTACGACACAAAGGGGTTAAGGCAGTGCTTAAAAAAAAACGTGAATTCCAGCTTGTCCTTTGGGCAAGCACCCCTCACGTTTTGCTCCCGCGGGGCAACTACTTGGTTGGCAATCGGTTATCCCTCGAATTCGTTGCTCTCGCCATTTTTTCGTTATCGAAAATAACCGTTTTGTTGTTGAAACGTGCATGTAGAGCGAAAAAAACATGTAAAAAATCGGCAGCAACGTGCTGGTGTTGCAGAAAGTGCCTAATTTCATGTTTCCTGGAGGACGGGAACACAAGACAACAACTTTCCTTTTCTTTTCCTGAACTTTGATACAAACCTTTGGAATTCAACTCCAAAAAAAATTTGCCAACAAAACATTTGACGAATTAAACGAGATGGAATAAGCGCGATAGTTTGAGGCAGCACGACTTCACTTTTTAAGTAACCGTCGCCGTCGTTGTTGCTTAAGCTCGCAAATGCTTTAATTGGAGGACGACATGTCTGGACCCATTGGGTAACTCAGCTTTAAAAGTTACTTGCCCAGCAAGAAAATCTACTTGTCCCGGATGACTGGACGGGACATTTTTTGAGCTTTGTAAAGTGGCTCTGTCAAGCTATTTGCTATCTTTTTAAAAACCTATGACTTGGCTTTTTCATCAATTGAATTCCAAAAATAATGGTCCAGTGTTGTCATTAAGAGCTAGATTTAGGTATTGAAACTGTTTCCTGTCGTCTGTTGCAACAGATGACATGAATGCACATGGATAGAAACTTGAAAAATTTGGCTCAAGCTTTTCAAGTTTTAATGATATGCCTGCAAAAATCACCAAACAATTTTTGTGAAAATTGTTTGATATCGTCTTCATAACTCTACAAGAGCATTTTGTTTTTTGTTAAAGGCACTAAGTAATGACTTTATAAGCACAGAGGGTAACTGGTCAAGTTGCCCAAAAGTCATCTCGCCCGAAGTCATGTCGCCCGTAATCAGAGTTATGTCGCTGGACACTTTTAGTTAAGTCGCCCGAAAGTCATCTCGCCCGAAGTCAAATCGCCCAAAACCAGAGTTATGTCGCCCGAGGTTTTAAGTTAAGTCGCCCGAAATTTTAGTAAAGAGTGTGTTCTCGTTCTTTAAGCGATAATGCAACGAAACAAGCAGGATAATTGTGTAGTATAGTCTCGTTCTTTTAGCGATGATGCTATGGTGCGACAAAACAAGCAAGATGAATGTGTAACCGATCTCGTTCTTTATGCAGTGATGAGACGAAACAAGTGGGATAAATGAGTAACATATCTTGTTCTTAAAGATTTGATGAGACGAAACTGGCGCGTTTAAGATGTTTGGATGTTGTTGAGCATTATAAAATTTCGGACGACATAACTTTGGTTTCGGGCGAGATGACTTTCTGGCGACGTGACCGTAAACCGCACAGAATTGAACTAAAACTGCAATATCCTTGCGAAATTGCCCTTTAAACTGGCTTCCAGTTGAAACTTATCAAGTATGCCCCCAAGAGATTTCATTTAACTGATTATTTGAATGTTGAATGCATTTTTAGTTGCTTATTGCCTTGTGGTTTGATTGTTGGTAATGTTTGATAATATTGTTACCCTCTGTAGGTTGCTCTGTCCAGAAAGTCGCCATATGTGCAAACAGCACATAGAGTGAGTGGTCTGATGTTAGCCAATCACACCAGCATTGCAACTGTAAGTTAGTATAATAAATATGTGGAGCATGACGTAGTCCTGAATAGGACTGTTGTTGACGGTGACTGATGATTCGTCAACCTGTGCGGTACTTAACTTCAGAGTCAAAGTGAGCTGTATCACTTTGACAAAAATGGCGTTAAACACTCTTATTTACCTGTTTAGTTGCTTTGTCCTAAGTAACCTGAGATCAGGCCCAATTTTAGCAGCTTCTATACATTCTCACTTACGTGGTCGCGCTAAAAAACGAAAATAGAGGCTGATCTCAGGTTATGTCCTAAGTGATTGGACAGTTGACAATCTTACTAACAATAAACGACTGTCCAACTGTGACAAAAGACGGATCCAAACGCACCAATGACATTCAAGAGTCTTCATAGCCAGTAACATCACGGCTTAACTGACAGACGACCAATAACATCGCGAGGTTTACGGTCGTTTCTCTTACGAGTCGTTTCGCCAACGTCCTGTTTGCTAACTTCTTAAGTCGTTTCGCGTACGTGTTAGGTCATTTCCGTAACCGCTTTCGCCTGATCAGTGCCACTTTTTTGTATCATGGCTGAGCGAACGAAGCATATACATGCGCAGCGCGCGTTTCGCTTCTTAGCGAAACGACATAAAACGTTAGCGAACTGGACGTTAGCGAAACGACTCGTAGGCGAAACAACCGGTCACCCATCGCGACAGTCCTATTCAGGACTCGACTACGCTCACCTGAAGGATCATGTCCCCCTGCTTATGAAATGACTCCTGGATTCAAAGCTTTCACAGTTTTCTAGTATAATCGCACCAATTTTATTAATTGACTATGTGAGGAAAAGAAATTCAGTTTGTGTCGTTAACTTTCTCGAGAACGTTTTTCGCAGGTTGTTAGAAGGATCAGCGGCACTGTGAAGAGAATGGAAAATCTTAAAGATTTATTTGCAAACAACAAAAATATGGCTTGGGCCCGGTTTAGACGCCGAACTTTTCATTAGCCGAACCAAATACGTTGAATTAAGTACATGAAAAGTTCGGCGTCTGAATCAATCAGGAACGCCTATTTCAATTTGGAACGGCTGAGCCGTTCTTCCTGCCTCGCCCGGCTGGGAATTTCGACTTTGGAACGTCTTTGATTCAGACGTCGAACTTTTCATGTACCGAACCAAATGCATAGGTTATTATAAGGTATTTTGTAAGTAGATTGACCGAAGTGAATGTTTTTCTCCTTTTTAATTTAGTTCGGCTGAAATTAAGGTCGGCGTCCGAGCTCAATTCAGCCGGTCTTCATAATTTGGGTCGGCCTTTATTCGAATATGGTTCGCCTCAAGAAAAGTTCGGCGGTTGAACCAGGCCTAAAATGTTCCTGTTTTGTCCAAAAATCACTCCATACCAACAATGAAACTTTTTTCCCGTTGCCTTTCGCCATGTACAGAGACAATGCAAAAATATTGCTGTGTTTGCTTTCCTTCCGAGTGGCTTGACGTGCCCCTTGAAATTCGAATTTTTTTGGAAACCGCGAGAGTTATTCACCACTTTTTAAACATTTTTAAGTATTCATTGATGTATAGTAACTTGTTTGACATACAAAAGTTCACTGTACACATTTGACGATAGCCTGTGTACAGCCACTCCCTTGCCTTTAACAAACTTGTTTGAGGGGAGGGGCGGCTTTTTAAAGGTAATGTTGCACGGGGCGATGCGCAACGACAATTTTTAGTGCAACACAGCATTGCATTGTTGGAACAATGTTGTACCCATTCGAAACAATGTTGCAACAGTGTCTTGCGCTAAAAATCTTCGTTGCGAACCGTCTCCTTAACACAGCGTTGCAATATTGGAACAATTTTTAACTATTCGAAACGCAAACAGGCTATTAGACGTTTTTACGATTATAAATCACTGATCTCTTTTTTTTCAACAGGTTTTTGAAAAGAGCTGCCGATTATTTGATAAATTGCGTAAAAGAGAAGCTTTCCTGGACAATTATAAAAAGGAGGAGATGTTCAAGGAAAACCTGGACGAATTTGATGCGTCCAGGTGAGTTATTTATCAAAGTTTAAGTCTGTACCGATCCAGAGATGACGGGAACCTCGACTGAAACTTGGATTGCTTTCAGGGTCTTAAAACACGGTTTGCTCACAAAATTTCAAAGGATTGTAGTCAGGTTTGGTAGAATGGATTTCCAAGGTTTACAACTCTGATAAACGCAACTTTACCGAAGATTACATGAGATTCGGTAGATTCATTCTCTGTGTAAATAGGGAGCGTTAAGATCCGAGGACGGCGACGGCAGTGACACTACGACCCTGAAAAAATTCATTCGAATTCCTTTAATCTCCTTCGCGATTACTTCAACTGACTTTATTTTGTAGGCGAATCCTCCTGAAGTTGAATGCCTAAGAACTATATCCAAATTCAGAAAGAGAAATAAAATTTCGTCGTTGTTCTCAAGAAAACAAGAAATTGGGCATTTTCACGTCGTAGTCGTGCAGTGACGGCAAAGAAATGTACAAAAAAGCGTAATGCGCGTGCAAAATTGTTGTTTTGCTAATATTAGGCCATGTTCACCGTTGACCGTAGGTTACTCGCAAACCCTGAAATTACCTCATCGCGTACTTGCACGGCGCATCCTTAGTCAGAATTTTTTTCTTTAAATCACATCAGACGTATGGTAATCACTTAGAACGACCAGACCTTAGATTATTTACTAAATTAAAATCTTAATTTAAGTAGTAATACCTTTACTTTGATGCATTTTTTATTGTTAAAATATTTTACATAAATTTAGATTTTGTTTCGTAAAATTTAACTTTGGGTACTCGTAAGATTATAGAAAGGCTTTAATGGTTGGATCTTTTTACAGAGAGGTTGTCCAGCAGTTAATAGAGGAATACCAAGCGGCGACAAAGGCTAATTATATCATGTGGGGAACTCAACAACAGGTGAGGAGAATCTCCTTCTTACTGACTGCATAACAGTTCTTTTTTCCTCCAAAAGCATCCTTCCCCTCCGTTATGTGTTGTGTTATGCATGCCTACATTATCAGAGTTAAAAAAAATTCTTATCCACTTGTCCTTCGGACAAGCACTATATTAAATTTTGTTGTCCGAAACCCAAGAGTTCTTGTCGAAAAGTTTTGCTCAAAACTCGAAACTCAAAAACAATCGGGCATTTAACGTTTTTAATCACATTATTAGCCTTGTAAATTGTTTTTGACTTAAACCTAAATATAATATCAGTAACGTCTTAACAGGCCTGATTAATAAGGACAGGTTAAGGGGAATATTTTAACCTTATTTCGTACAGCATGAGGTTTACTTTTATGACTAATAAGATAAATTTTAATTCTACTGTAATTTGAAGTCAATTTTCAATTGTTCCTGTATTTTTTTATATTAAAATGTGCTTGTCCCACGGACAAGTCATGTCAAAGGTTTACATGTCCGAACTAAATTTCTACCTGTCCCGGACAATCGGACATAGGTGCACCCTGTCTATACCGGACAGCCCTTGCGCCGGCATGAAAACCATATCGGATAGAGCTTTTATTCACAGTCACACATAAGTGCGGTGATTTCGAAGCGGTTTCTGTTGCGCCGATCCCCCGGAAGGGGGGAGGGGCGTACTTCCTTTTAAGAGGCTAATGGGGATGTGCCGTTGTATGGGGTCGCATTTTCACAACTGGATTGACTATAATGGTGTCGCATTTTCAATAGAGTTACTAGAATGGGGTCGCACATTTTCGGATATTTTTAGGTAAGACAGTTCTTCATATTTAAGGTTAGCAAACGTACCAGAATGTTGTACTACAGAAGAAAAGTAAAGTGTTCTTCATTCAATCTAAAAAATGGGTCAATTCACAAAAATAGAAAGTGAAAAAGTTGGGATCACGAAAATTACATATTTGCCCAAAAGTGACTAAGATGGGGTCTATAATTGGCCACAGAATAGACTATAATGGGGTAGGGGCTCTGACTGGCCAGCGGCACATACCTACAGCAAAAATGAAACCAAGTATCCCTCTCCCCGGGCGCCGAACTTAGAAGTGGATCGCCACCTATCGGATCTATTGTTTCTGTGCTATCAGTTCAGTGTGAAAAGTTGTTCAAGTCGACATAAGAGGCTCAGTATCCAGTATAGTGTAGACATATCAGTCTTAAGTATGAAAGAGACGTCGAAGTTTCCGTTTATGGACTTAGCTGGCCTGTGGGTGCGAACAAGCTCTTCATTTGGTAGCCTGTTCCCGGGGTACCGGTCGTTTTGATACAAAGTCGTTCCGATGTAAGCTAATTCCTTCGAGGTGTAGATAGTTTCACCTACTTGGAAAGAAAAGAACGAAGAATATTCACCCAAAATGTTTTTCTTCTTCACTTTACTTTACTTGAAGTTATCGATAAAATTTTTGCGCAATTTCACTTCTTGAGTTCGTAAATGACTTTGTATCGAAACGACCGGTTTCCGTTCCAGGTATTCAGACAGTAGAACGCGGCGATCAGATGGTGGGAGCGAGTTACTCGTACGGGGGGATTACGAGGGGGGAAAGGGGGGTTAGACTGAAGCTTTTCCCTTTCTAGTCTCACCTGTGTTTTTTTCCCTCGTCAGTTTTTCGCCCGCGCTCTACTATCTTAGTCTCTTGAACAGGCTATTCATTTAAGGAATATTGTGAGTCAAGCGCGAGTGGTACGCGCAATAAGAAGCGAGGACGAGGGGCGGGAAAGAAAGGACAGCTCTCTGCTTCCTCTGCCGCTCGCTCACATGTTGTCTCTCGACCAGCTCGCTTTGCTCGCTACTCGAAATAGAGAGCTTTAGCTTTCTTTATAGCCGCGAACACCATGTTTTACATTGAATCGACAACTGTTCGAGAGCTTGATCCTATCTTCGTAGAGGACTGCTTTTCTGTCCAGTAAAATTCTTTATTTTAACAGTTGACATGCACGAATACTAAACGTCTCAACAAAACTTTTACTTTCTGTCGGTTCACAGGGAGCTTCTGGTTCAGATGTGTCCAAGGTTTAAAGAACAAGCTCAGAAGTAAACGTCAGTTCCACCGCTATCTTGTTGGAATGAGCAACATAAGGGTTTAGTTCTGTCCCTGTTCGACTCAAGAGAGAGGCATGCAGAGGATTTAATTGCCAGAAGAAAAACTTCATTAGTTCGGAATAGCAACTAAAATTTAGGAATAGATGCAGCTGCGTCAATAGCGCATTGCAGAGTATCGCTTTGGAGACTATACATGACCTAATCTCGAACCCAGATCTCTCGTTGACGAAGCGTCGTCAACTAGAGATCTGGTACCACATTCAACTGTGGATGAAATCCCAAATGTTAACCATTCAGTAAAAGCTGCTAAGCAGTACTTTCATGTGGCGCTGCTTATTATGATGTGCAAGGTGGTTCTAACTTTTGAGTCTGTGGATGAAAGCCTTAAGTGTGACCATTCAAATAAAAGCTACTGAGCAGTACTTTCCTGTGGTACTGTTTATCATGATGTGCAATGTTGTTCTAACTGTTGAGTCCGTGGATGAAATCTTTAAGTGTGACCATTCAAATGAAAGCTATTGAGCAGTACTTTCATGTGGTACTGTTTATAATGCTGTACAAGGTGGTTCTAACTTTTGAGTCCGTGGATGAAATTCTAAAGTGTGACTATTCTAAAGGAAGATTCTCAATATTATTTTCCTGTGGTACTGTTTATCATGCGGTACAAGATGGTTGTACCTTTTGAGTCGATGGAGAAATTTTCCGTTTCAGCCCGCTTTTCGCCCTTTCCCCACTGCGGAGCTTGGTTCCAGGCTAGATAAAATCCTTAAGTACGACCATTAGAATGTAGCAAATGCAATACTTTTCTGTGGTGCTGTTTACTATTTTGTACAAGGTGTTTCTAACCTTTTGGACCATGAGTGAAATTTACGCGAGTGGGNGTTAACCATTCAGTAAAAGCTGCTAAGCAGTACTTTCATGTGGCGCTGCTTATTATGATGTGCAAGGTGGTTCTAACTTTTGAGTCTGTGGATGAAAGCCTTAAGTGTGACCATTCAAATAAAAGCTACTGAGCAGTACTTTCCTGTGGTACTGTTTATCATGATGTGCAATGTTGTTCTAACTGTTGAGTCCGTGGATGAAATCTTTAAGTGTGACCATTCAAATGAAAGCTATTGAGCAGTACTTTCATGTGGTACTGTTTATAATGCTGTACAAGGTGGTTCTAACTTTTGAGTCCGTGGATGAAATTCTAAAGTGTGACTATTCTAAAGGAAGATTCTCAATATTATTTTCCTGTGGTACTGTTTATCATGCGGTACAAGATGGTTGTACCTTTTGAGTCGATGGAGAAATTTTCCGTTTCAGCCCGCTTTTCGCCCTTTCCCCACTGCGGAGCTTGGTTCCAGGCTAGATAAAATCCTTAAGTACGACCATTAGAATGTAGCAAATGCAATACTTTTCTGTGGTGCTGTTTACTATTTTGTACAAGGTGTTTCTAACCTTTTGGACCATGAGTGAAATTTACGCGAGTGGGCACGAAGATTCTATGTAATTGGCTACCCGTCCAGACAAGATAGGCAAGTCTTGCCCGCTGGGGATTTCCCGCTTCGTTCCCGCGAAAAAAGTTCAATACTTTGGGATACAATAAATTTCGCATCTGTCTGTACTTTTGTGCTTGCTTTACACGGCGGTTTGCAACTTCACATTGGAAGTTGCATTCATTCGCTTTTCCATACTCAGCGCGAGAACTCAGTGTCAATAAAAACTTTTTGTATATAAACGAGGGACATGTTATGCCAGATTGAGTAATAAATAAACACCTTTTATTCGCTTGTCTTGTACGGGTAGATTTAGCAAAGACAATGTGACGGCACTGATGACGGCGCGCGCAAATCAAAAACTCGACTTGACCAATCGCAGAGCGACAAATCGAGCAGCCTGCGAATACAGCCGTTTCTCCTCGCTTGTCGTCGCTAAGGACTCTCAAATAACTCCCACTTCTCTATTAAGCCCCCCCCCCCCCCCCCCACCCTGGCGCGGGAATAAAAAGAACCCCCACCCCCCCCCCCACATATCAACTTACAACATAATATAACAAGAGAATCTGAAGAAAAATCCACTTGAGTGGACGGGTGGTTGGGCTTGCACGGCGGCAGATTACGCATACTTGATACAGGGGATATAA